GTGGCAGGACAAGATTCGGAACACTCAGGTGTTTAGAAGATCAGCTCTCCCCAGTATTCACACCCTGCTGAAATTGGCACAGCTAAGATGGGCTGGCCACTTCTCAAGAATGCCTGACACTTGCCTGCCAAAGAAAGTCTTCTATGGTGAACTGTCAACTGGAGTATACTTCTTGTGGTGCACCAAAGAAGCAGTACAAGGACACCCTAAAGGTGTCCCTAAAGAGTTTTGGCATCGACCCAGAGTTGTGGGAGCAACTCACTCATGACCATCCATCCTGGAGGTCCCAAATCTAGAACGGAGCATTAGCTTTTGAACAGCATCACACGGCAGAAGCCACGAAGAAACATGCAGCCAGAAAAACAAAAACCTCTTGTATTCAGTCCTCATCACTGTCCTGACCCTGCTGCAGCAGATTCTTGAAAGCAGAGATCGGACTATGTACTCACGTGACCTAGCCTCCACCCCCTTCGTTCTCTTCCCTTTCCTTTTTTTCTCCTTTTTCTTCTTTTCTCCTTCCCTTTTTCTTTCCTACTTCTTTTCTGTCTTCTTCCCTTCCCTTCCCTTCCCCGCCCCTCCCCCTGCTGGATGTGGTTGTTTTTGCCCACAAAGGACGAAAGTATATTATCTTAGCAGTTTCTGTATTCGGAGAGAGAAAAACACTTAGTTCACCCAATCCTATATGTTACTTTGCTCAACAGAAGAAGCAGCCACTCAGTTCCTGAAACAAAGGGTGTGTTGTTGGCTGGGATGGTCCAGATGGGTGTTGAAGGCTGGATCAATGATGACAATGACACTTAACTTTCTTGCTTGTATGCTTTTCTTTAACTTCACTTCTTTGACTCCTTGCTTTTGTATTGGTCTCTCTGCCGTCAGCATATTGTCTGTATTTTATCCTTTGCTCCTCTGACCCATCATGAGGACACCTCTTAATTTGACATTTTTCCAGTGTCTTACTGTGGGCATTGTCCATTGGTCTCCCTTATCACCTTTTCATTAACATATCCAATCATTTCATCCCTCTGATTCACTTGGCTAGTATCAAGTTCAGTTAATTTGAGGTGGTAACAAAACTATTACTGTGTTGTGTTATAAAAACTTCTCACAATGATAGAAAAGGAAAGAAACAGTATGTGAGCCAACTCAAGGTCACAAGCTGTTTGCAAGAGGCAAGGCTAGCTGATATTGCAGAAAACTTCAGATAACATTGAAGCTATTTAGAACTTAAGCAATGATTAAATAAGACTAAATATAAAAGAAACTTTAAACAATACTCCAATTTACCATTCTATAAATAGATGTAATTTTAAAACGTAAGATATGGCAAACTATCCTAACACCAGTGGGTCTGGGGCACAGGCTCTGTGGCCAGTCCACATAAGGCCCCAGGCCATCTGTGCATGCTAGAAGCAACACTCGGGGCCAGTCTGGTAGGATGCCGCATGCAGAGTGTACCCCACTGGCTCTCTTTGGAGCTTCCCATGAAGAGGAAGTCCCAAAATGGGGCTGGTGCATGCTGCACACAGTGCATGGGTCTGGACCAGCCGTGCACCCTGCATGTGGTACAGGGAGCCAGCACTGGGTCTGGTGCATGCAGCACTGTGCTAGCCCAGCCCTGCATGCTAGCTGTGGCATGCACAAACTGCTTGGGGCCCTTTCTAGACTGAACCTAGAGCCAGCATGGGGCCAGTCTGACTCACCCTGGACCAACTCCTTGTACTGTGTGCAGAACCCATAGTGCCAGGTCCAGCCCTCATGCCAAACCAGTTCTGCACTGTGTATAGGGTCAGTCTGAGACCCACTGGCTGAATCTTAGGGCTTCACAGACCCTATCTGGCCCATTGGCTGTATATTAGATATCCCTGCTGTGCACCAAGGAGAATGCAGATCCTTGGACCCATAGACTGCTGTAAGAGAACCAAAAAATAAAAAGCTTCTGAGCTGACATGGTTAGAAAGGTTCTATTAGAATTTATGTTGGAATTTTACCAATTGATCAAAACTTAAATCCATGAGTTTTCAAGAGACTATTCCAAAATCGTTGTTATACTAGAGTTTTTAAACAAAACTGCTGCAAGGATGTATAATGTACAAAATCTATACAATTGTTCCTTAAAATTTATTCTGAGAAATGGCTGAACTGCTTTTGAAATTTTCCAAAATAAATAAAAAAATAAATAAAATTGGAGTAACTTCGTACTTCAAACCTTGGATGATTTAAGGTTTGGCAAAATTTACAAGCCTTACAAGGAAAAGTAGACCATCTCAGTCATCACAGCTGCTGTATTATTGAGTGGCGTGAAATATAAAAAGCTGCTTTTGGTTTCTTCTTCCTATCCCAACTCCCCAATCTTCTAGTGTGTTCTTTAACTTGTACAGTGATCATCTGAATCTGATAATCTGTCCTGTGCAGTGTTTGACACCCATGTTTGTGTTCTGTTTTATGAGGGAAAGCAAGAAAAGCACATAGTGGTATTTTGGTTAATTTTTATTTACAAGCCAGCCATCTTCTGGAGTGCTTTTGGGTCAGTCGCTACACTTAGAAAAGGCATCTTAGGACATTCATGAAAGTATGTAAGATAAAGAAAAGTGATGTCTGTGCAAAACATTATTTGTATACTCTTTCCCAAGTGGAACATGCAGAAAGCCTCCAAGTTTTAGCCTAATGATAGCAACTTTCTCTGATCGGGTCCGAGTTAACACACTTCTTTATTTCAGTGCTTATTTTGCTAGTGCCAAGTAATTGGGTACCATTTAACTAGGAACTGAGTTCTAGATTTTGCATTTTAATAAAGAAATTACCAAATAGCTATTGCTTTACATTGGGCAAAAAACCTTAAAGGAGAGTAAGTGATCATACATCAGATCATATTTTTCTCATCTGTGCTGGGCTGTCTGTATGTTTGGCATAGAAGAACCAGAGATCTGTAACAGGGCTATGTACTTTGGCATTAAGCAGCAGCAGGTGTTTGATGAGGCCCATTGTATCTGCTATTTGCATGCTGACACTCATCACATAGGTTTGATGGAGAATAAATGAGATGTAAATTATAGCAACTGATTTGGAACATAAGATCAGAGTTCCTTGAACCCTGCGGCTTACTTTAAATTTAAACTTAACTTTAAATCAGCTTAACCGTCACAGCATAAACACGTATGTGGAGCAGAGTTGACGTAAATGCAGCACAATAATTAGTTAAGTTGACTTAACTTACAAGATGGCTGCCACCATGTCAAGGAGCTGTACATATGTACATTTCTATGTGGCTTAACTCAAGTCGACTTAATTAAGTTGCCTTACTTTAAGTTGACTTAGTACATGTGTACGCACCCAGTGTTATTTCCTGATTAACCTAAGTTCGCAGCCTGCCTTTTCTGCTTATACCCCTCTTTGCTTTTGTTGAAAAAGCAATAGAAATATGAAGAGGAAAATTTAGTGCACTACAGTTTTGTGTCATTTTAACATACAGGGAATATTTCTGTTCAGTGATTTGGAACTCTGAGGAAAGAAAGGCTAATGGAGAAACATTTGAGAGGTTCCATCCTGGTTTTTAGTTATTTAGTTTGAGTGATTCTCTTAAATCTATTGCCAAGCTGTCTTCCTTTCTTTATTATGGCGTGAAGGAAAACACTTTTTCTTTGCTTGTTATCTTTTTAATTTTAATAAATGCAAGTGGTAAGCTTACTTCCAGTGTGAAATTTTGGTGAACATGCAGTTAATGGCTGAATTTGATGTTTTGTAAGGTGTAGTTGTCTACAGATTTAAAAGCTAAAATGTATACTATTTGATCATTTAAGGAAATTGAAATTGTTTGCTTAATTCAGATTTTTCTGTTCTTCAGAAGTTCTCTCTGGCTTGAGAATAAAACTACCTTCTGTGTGAGGTATTTTCACAAAACGTGACACTTCAGTGTTTGTAGGGCTTGGGCTTGAAGTGTGTTGCTCTTTATTATAGAGGACAAAGGCTGATAATATCAATTTTGGAAGAAATTTGTTACATTTTGAAGTCACTGACTTTGGTTTTGGAAGGAAAGTTGTGGTTGATCTCACTTCTGCAGTATTCTGGTTTTGTGCATTTAGAGCTCGGTATTCTGCAGTCTGATTCAGCTGAAATAAAATTAGAGTGAAGATGGGAACTTTAGAAGCAGCAGGTCTAAAAAGGACTGAAAAAATTAAAGCAGTGCTAAAATTGCCGTTTATTTCTTTGAGTTTCTTTTAAGCAAGAAAATTATAATGCCCGCACATAGTTTGTAGTCTGTTACTGAAACTGAAGTACTGTTATCAAGGCGAGTTTTCTTGAACACGCATTAAAGGTGTTTGTACTAGTGTAACTAACTTAACTTTGAAAGTAGTTTTAGTTCAACCAACAGTTGTTTTTATGTAGACCACCCCAAATTGTCAGTATTAAAAATACTGTTATTAATTATATGTTCCAGCAATGGTGGAACTTAAAGCTTTTGAAAGTTGTATTTATGTTTGGCTATAGTCAGGGTTTGTATTCATGTTTGGTGTGTGGTTTGTTTTTTCTTTTTCCCCCCCCATGGTGTGTTCCTTTTAGTCAGTTTTTAGTAAGATGGCATGGAACAGAAGTTGAAGATGTACTTTTCATTAATTTTTACTTTAAATGTGGAAGATCTGGCTAGTTATAGACTGCAAATAAAACTGTCATACAAAATTAGTAAATCTTATCAAATTGTAGTAAATATTTTGCATTATGCTATTTTTGGCTGGTTTGACTTGACTGTTAAAGTCGTTTCTAGTAGCACAAGTCCAACAGGGAATGGGAAAGGATAAAGAATGATCTCTCCTTAGCAATATGATGGACTAGATTATTTATAGCTATGATAGTTATGGTTAAAAATATTTTCCCTTTTTTCTTGGAATTAATTACATGGAGAAACTAAATACTGTATATTCTGATTTGTCCTTTCTTAACAATTGCATTACAGTTGCTCAAGAAAAATATCTGTTAAGTGCAATTTTTTTTTCTTTTTTTTTAAGGTTGCTGAAGCCAGTGTAAATGATACAAGTATCTCATCAGGAGAAACCAAGAGCAAAAGCAGCATTCACTTTCTGCCAAATGAAACAAAGCTAGATTTGCAAGTACGTAACAAAGACTTAAATACCAAAGAGAAAAGTGATCCAGGTGTGGATGAGGATGATGTGGAAGGAGATTCTTTTTTTGATGATCCCATACCCAAACCAGAGAGAACTTATGGCTGGTAAGTAAATAATATTTACAAGATAATGCACATTTCTTTTATGCTCAAAAGGCTTGCAGAATATTCAGGGTTAAGTCAAATTTGCATATAGCCTTATGAAGTGTCACTTAATTCCTCTAACATATCCAGCATACTGAAAAGATGGAGCCTTGCCTTTGCATACTTGTTTGCCAAACATGATGTACAAATCTATGCTGCATGAGTACTGGTGCTGTAATCAGACCTATAGTAGCTGCATAGTTGGGCAAAGAGAAGCCTTACCTCTTAAGATGGGGCAAAATCTAACCTATATATACAAAGAAGGATTATGACATTGATATCTTGAGAGATACTTCTCTGCTTATGGAAAAAATCCCTTATGAATTGTATGGATCAATGTTCACATTCATTTTTCTCTCTGTGTAGGTTGTGTTTTTGTTTGTTTTAAGAAGCATATTGTTTTTCTTGGGAAATTTTTTAAGGTTCTGTGCATTCAGGCACTTGTTCTTGTAGGATCTGATAATATTTGAAAATACTGAAAAAAAATATAATCTGCCCAGTTCTAACTGTATTAATTGCAGTTAACTGTAATAATTAGTTCTAGAAAACTAAATACAACGTATGGCACAAGTGCAAATTCTACAGTTTTAACATCTATTTGTAACCTTTTAATCATTCAAAAACAATAATACATTAACATAATAATCTTGGTCCTGGGGCCAATTTTGTTCAGTGTCTTTGTCACCGAGTCACAGTTGCTGCCTGTGAAAGGCTGGTAAGCTTCAGTTACTTGGGTAATCCCTGGCCTCTGACCGGGAAAAAGTTTGGTGCTCACTCTGCTCCAGGAGAGACTGCTCCTGTCCTCGCTTAATCTCGCCCGCTACAGCTTTGATGGAAAATTTATAAGAGGTAATGTTCGGTCTGAGAACAGTCAATCCTTGAGTGGGGAAGGAGTAGCAAGAATGATCCCAGTCTTGTACAGCACTGTGTCATTTGGGACTGGCCTTAAGGGCCCCATTTTTGGAGCTCCTCCAACCCCTATGCTCCCACCTCATACCTCTAGTAATTTGATTACTTAAAGTCCTATCTGCAACCAGCCTTGTTGCTGTAGGTGCTATATTTAGCTCATGGGATACCTGAGAGTCCATCCCTTATAAGCAGGAATCCTGTTTTTCCCTGATTAAAAAAAAAAAAAAAA